TAAGTAATAAGGTGGAGGGCACAATGGGTAATTTAGTTGTAAGGGAAAAATTAGAGCAAAACAAATAATTTGCCACCATATCTGGTTTCTAAAAAGTGTGTTCTTTGTCAGAACTAGGAGGAAGTGATCTTTCCAACTTGATAGGGAAACAGAGCATCATTGGGAAAAGGTTATGACTGTGTTTCATTCTGCTTCACCTTTGTCTGAACTTTTCTCCTACTTGTATAACTTTAATATTCTACAATAGAATTTTTTATGTCAGTCCTGAATTTCAGCATGAACAACTTTTCTTAGCAATAGATTTATTAACTCTATTATTATGCTTTGGGTTGGAGCAATAGCATAGCAGGTCGGGCGTTTGCCTTGTACGTGGCTGACCTGGGTTCGATTCCCAGCATCCCATATGGTTCCTTGAGCACTACGAAAGGTAAATCCTGGTAGTGTGTGGGGTGTTGGGTGATGGTGGTAGGGACACAGGGGACACAGGTGGTAGGAAATGTACACTGGTGGAGGGATGGGTGGGGATCATATACAACTGAAACCCAATTATGAACAGCTTTGTAATGGCTTATCTTGTGGATATTCAATTAAAAAAGTTTTTTAAAATGTGGAGTTCTTATCCACTTCAATCAGTTAAATCAATAGCTGAGTAAATAGTAGTACCTCTACATTAAAAAAAACATAGTATGAGACTAATAGCCAAGGACAGTAGAGAAAAGTGCCAGTTTGCTTCAAGTGGTGGGGGAGGAGGGCAGTTAGATTAGGGGAGAGAACACTATGACACTGGTAGTTGGAAAGGATCACTCTGGATAAGAACTGTGTACTGAATGTAGGTAAAGGAGCAAAAATGATAACTTTTCAGTATTATAAACCATACTGCGTAATGCCCAAAAGGAGAGAGATGGGGAGAGAGAGAAGAGAGAGAGAGAGACAGAGAGAGAGAGAGACAGAGAGAGAGAGAGAGGGAAAGAGGCCAACTGGGAAGAGGTGCTGGTGGGAGGGAAACTGGTGATATTGGCGGTGGTAGGAAATGTACACGGGTGAAGGGACGGGGTGTTGAAATATCCTGAGCCTGGTATTCAATCATGAATATCTTTGTAACTTTGTAATTTATAGTGATTCAATTTTTTAAAAATTACAGAGGGGGGCTGGAGTGATAGCACAGCAGGTAGGGCGTTTGCCTTGCACGCGGCTGACCTGGGTTCGATTCCCAGCATCCCATATGGTCCCCTGAGCACCGCCAGGAGTAATTTCTGAGTGCAGAGCCAGGAGTAACCCCTGTGCATCGCTGGGTGTGACCCAAAAAGAAAAAAAATTACAGAGTCTATTCATAGTAGGCATGGCTGTCTGTGTGCTGCAGCTGAGCATGGCCTCTTCTGTGGCCTGTGGATTCTTCAGCAGACAGCCAGAATTTTTTAAAAAAAATTTTATTATTGAAACACCATGAGGTACAGTTGTAGACTTACAAATTTTTGTGCTTGGGTTTCAGTTATACAATGATCGAATACCCATCCCTCCATCAGTGCCCATTTTCCACCCCCAATGATCCCAATATCCCTCCCGCCCCCCCTGCATCCCACCCACCTCTGTGGCAGGGCGTTCCCTTTTGTTCTCTCTCTCCTTTTGGGTGCTGTGGTTTGCAAAAGAGGCACTGAGTGGTAATCATGTTCGGTCTATAGTCTACTTTCAGCATGCATCTCCCATCCTGGGAGGATGCTCCCAACACCCTTTATTTAGTGCTCCCTTCTCTATCTGAGCTGCCTTTTCCCCTAGTGTGTGTGGCTGGCCTCAAAGCCATGGAGTAAACCTCCTGGTACTCATCTCGGCTGTTCTTGGGTATTAGTCTCCTATTTTGTTACTTTATGTTCCCCAGATGAATGCAATCTTTCTATGTCTATCCCTCTCTTTCTGACTCATTTCGCTTAGCATGATACTTTCCATGTAGTACCACTTGTATGTAAATTTCATGACTTCATCTTTTCTAAAAGCTACATAGTACTCCATTGTGTAGATGTACCAAAGTTTCTTTAACCAGTCATCTGTTCTCGGGCACTCAGGTTTCTTCCAGAATCTGGACAGCCAGAAATTTTCGAGGTGTCTGCAAGTGAGTGTATTTGTGTGAGTGCGGCAGCTGGGTTCTCCAGCGTGGGCCCGCTAGATCTCTGGGTGGAGCACTCTGATTGCTTAAGTTGCAGAGTGAGTCCTTCAGCTGGAGGTAGTCCTTTAAGCAGCCTGGCTGCCTAACCCGCCAGCTCCCACCCCCAGCCCCAGCACGCAGAAGCAGGAAATGAGTTCTCTGACAGTGGGCGGGCGAAGTCAAAAGTAAAAGAAAACGCTTCCTGGAGGCGTTGCCATTCCTTTTGCACCCCGCCTTAGCTTTCTTGTAGGGACTTTCTCACTTGGGACGGCGTCTGTGCCTTGTGCGGGCGAGTACCAGGGATTCAGGGCACCTTGGGGGTCCCGGCCTCCGGGACTGGAGACTGGGATGTGGCCTGGACCGGGTAGAGCAGGTGAGTATTTGGCGCAGAGGTGGCTTTGGGACACCACTTTTTTGGACTGTCTTGGGGGTCAACTCGGATCTGCCAAGGGTGCATACGTCAGGGTTTGCCAGCACCATCGATCCTGCGGGCTTCCCCGTCATCGCGCTGCTGTGCTAGTGCCGAACTCCCGGAGCCCCGCAGTTCCTCGGCTGCTCGCCGCTGCCGCTTCCTCCCGGCTGTCTCGTAGACCCGGTTGGATCGGCCAGGGGCTTCGACAAGATCTTGGCTTGTAATTTTTCTAGCCAACTTCTTGTCTGAAACTTTTTTCTTTACCCAAATGGAATATAAGTTTTCCGATGGCAGAGCCCCTATTTTACAGATAAGAGTTGTCGGGTGTGCCTCTTCACCTGCAGAGAAAAAGTCCGCTTTCTTTGGGCGTCCGGACTGTAGTTGAGGGAATCCTCCCGTAAGATCTTTGAGGCCCACAGACCCCTCTCCCCTGCCCTGTTCAGGAATTTCACCTGTTCCCCCAGCACCCTCTTCTCGCGTTCAGGTTCCAGAAGGCTAACTCTGGAAATCTCCTGAACTGATGTGCTTATTTGCAAACTGTACTCTTTTTTTTTTGGGGGGGGGGGGAACGGTGTACACTAGCTTATCTCTAAAGTCTGGAGTTATTAAATCATTTCTCTCTGCCTCTGCTTCCTCATCTTGTAAAGGGATTCCTTTACAAGAAATTGGTGAAGTAGTGGAGGATTTAAGAAGACAACGACTGTTCGCAGCTGTACTGGTACAACTGTGGTACTAAATTCTACCACTCGGTACTATTAACTACCCAGAGAATTGTAGAATTTTTATTTTTATTATTATATTTTTTTGAGGGTACTGCTCACAGGATTTTCATTCCCATCCAGTCCGTGGCCTGCTCCAGCTTTGTTTTTAATTTCATTTCAAACGAGTTTGAGTGCCATTTCATGCTATTTCCCTCTCTGACTGTCCTCAGTAATTCTGTGTTCAGATTCATTGTTCAGATCCCCCCCCCCCCCTTTCATTCCTTGATTTGCAGGAAAGCTTGGAAAGTGCTAGATGTTACAACTCCCCCACAGGTCCTGGGAATTGTGTTGAAATCCCTTCTCTTCTGAACCTCCCAGCCCCACTAGTCACAGAATGGTAGGGATCTCATTCTGTCCCTGCCACCCAGATTTTTATGGGCCAGAATCACATGCTAATGAACGTTTTCAATATTATGGGGTCACCCTTTACTTAATTCTCTGCAGGTGAAGAGGCACTCCTGACAACTCATTTAATCCTCATCTGTAAAATAGGTGTTCTGCTATTGGAAAACTTACATTCCATTTGGGTAAATAAAAAAGTTTCAAAGTAGAGATGCATTTGATTTCTCTTTTCCACTTATGACATCGAAAAACACTTCAGCCTATTGATAGGGGCTGAGGCTGACTGTGGCAGGGGTAATGGAGGTTCATGGCAGGGTTCATGGTTCTATCTTCAGAACCCAGGCCATGGGCAGGACCCAAGATTTCTCTTAGATTGCAGAGTTTCTGTCATTTTCTAGGCAGTTGAAGATGGCGAGATCTGGTGGTCTTGGATCTTTGGGGATGATTCTTATATTTGAGTGTAGCTGGGGAAATTACAAGAATTAAATGGGAGTTAAGTGAAATGGGAGTTAGCAGATCCTCTGCAAACTAAGGTGAGGGCCCTCTAGTTTCTAGATCTCAAGATCTCTTCGAAGTGCTCAGTCATATTTATTGAATGAAAGTAGTGAAGTTTGGTGGAGAATGGGCACTGGTGAAGGTACGGGTGTTTCATTGTATGACCAAGACTTAAAATTGAAAGCTTTGTACCTGCTCTCACAGTGATTTAATAAATAATAAATAATAAAAAATAAAATAAAGGCCCTCCCATTGATCATCGATTTGCTCGAGCGGACCCAGTAATGTCTCCATTGGAGACTTTGTTGTTACTGTGTCTGGCATATCGAATACGTCACGGGGGCCTTGCCAGGCTCTGCCGTGCGGGCGAGATACTCTCGGTAGCTTGCCGGGCTCTCCGAGAGGGGCGGAGGAATCGAACTCGGGTCGGCCATGTTGGCTGCGTGCAAGGCAGACGCCCTACCCGCTGTGCTATCGCTCCAGCCCTTTATTTATTTAATAAATAAATTTTTATTTATTTAATAAATATTTAAATAAATAAATAATAAAATAATAAATAATATTTAAATAAATAATAAATATTTATTTAATATTTATTTATTTATTTAATAAATAAAATTATAAAAAATGAAAAAAAAAGTAAGGTGGAGTTCATGTCCAAGTCAATCAGCCTAATCAGTGGCTGAATAAATAGCAGTACTCCTACATTTAAAAAAAAAGTAGTGAAATTTCGATCGCAAATGAAATGCAATCCTGAGATAAGCATATAAAGTACTCTTGGTCGTCATTCGTCCAATTTCTCAGTGATAGAACTAACAAGTTTCTCAGTCCTGTTCACCCCTTCCTCCCCCAACAGGAAGAGAGTGAGTAAAAAACCCTGCTGTTAACATTTATTTGAACTGTGAACGTGCCAGAGGGACAAGACTCCTGAAGAAGTACCGGCCACTGTGAGGAGACTAGGACCAAGGACGTGGTACTTTACTAAGGTCAGTTTGCCTTTTGGGGAGTAAGATTTTTCCCCTTCTCACCATGGCACTCTCAGGATCATTTGGGCCTGTATCTGCAATACCAGGGATTAAGTTAGGGCCTCAAACTTGCCCTGAGGGATTCCTAAATTGAGGATCCATCTTTGGGCCCTGTTTCTAGGTATCATTAACAGCAGCTCTTCTTCCTGGGGTCACGCACAGAGCAGATGGTCCTGATCATGTCAGTCCACGTCAGTCAAGCACCAGGGTTTAGGCTCAAAAATCTTTACCTTATAGGGAAGTGCTCTGAGTCATTGAGCCATCTTCCACAGGAAACATTTTTTTTTAATTTTTTTAAATTAAAAAACATTTTTTTATTAGTGAAACACCATGAGGTACAGTTGTAGACTTACAAATTTTTGTGCTTGGGTTTCAGTTACACAATGATTGAGTACCCATTCCTCCACCGGTGCCCATTTTCCACCACCACTGATCCCAGTACCCCTCCCATCTCCCCAAACCTCCCCTTCCCACCCTGCCTCTGTGGCAGGGCATTCCCTTTTGTTCTCTCTCTCTCTCTCTCTCTCTCTCTCTCTCTCTCTCTCTCTCTCTCTCTCTCTCTCTCTCTCTCTCCTTCTGGGTGCTGTGGTTTGCAAAAGAGGCATTGAGTGGCAATCATGTTCGGTCTGTAGTCTACTTTCAGCATGTATCTCTCATCCTGGGAGGATCCTCCTAACACCCTTTATTTGGTGTTCCCTTCTCTATCTGAGCTGACTTTTCCCCTAGCATGTGCGGCTGGCCTCCAAATAGGAACTTTTTAGTCTAGACTTTTCTAGACTGTTCAGGATGTGTTGCTGGCAGCCTCAAGGTTTCTGGAGATGATCCTTGTATTTGAGCATAAATAGATAAAGTGAGAATTTATAGCTTCTCAGAGTCAAGGTGAGGCTGGTGAAATCTCCACATCTCAAGACTCCTCCAGCTAAAACAGATAAATACTTCCTGGGATTTTTTTCCTGGAATCTTCCAGGTAAAATGGTGGGCAGAGGCCCCATTCTTATCCTAGTCAATTTTATAACTTTGTGTATCACTTCGTGCATTTTAGCTATTTGAATATCTCTGTCAGGGACTTCTGTCCTGGTGTCCATTTCTATAGGGTTTTCTTTTTATTGCTAATTTGCAGGAAAGCTTTGTTTAAAGAACAAGTAGTAGAAAATGAAGAATAGAAACCAAAACTTAAGTTCAACTGATTTTGCTCCCATAGCCACTCATTTACCAGCACCCATACCTATTGATACAGATACATACACCATTCTAAAAATTCAATTATTAATTAACCAGGTGCAGAACAGTGGAGTGAATAGTAGAATGACAAACACAGACTATAAGATCAGAGACCTATACTTGTCAAGTTATGCATTTATAGAGGAAGCTATAAATTTTTTTCAATTTGAAATTAGAGGGTTGGTTCTCAGTTTTGCTGAGGTCCAAATGCTTTGCTAGACTATGTGGAAGGCTATTTGTGTGGATGCTGTTTGTGTTCAGAGTGAATGGCTGTCAGGTTCCAGTGGAACCCCCAAGCTGGAGTAGCCTTTCTGGGCTGGCAGAGTGACCCTACTTTCTCTTAGGGGTTTTGGCCTTCAGCACCTTTCAAGTACTCTTGAACTTTGTATGAGATGCAGATTTTGTCTCAGAAGATTAATTCAAGTCTTGGATTTATTTTGCCAGCATTGAGGCAGTTATCCATATTATTGGAGGAGCTAGAATATTGCTAGAAGGAATATTTGTAATTAGATGTTGTATATTACAATTGTACTCTGGCATAATTAGAGTGGAGTGTTGGGACTCTGGAGTGAAATCTTGAAGTTTAAATTCAGGGTCTGGGATCCAAAGCAATAGTACATTGGGTAGGGTGCTTGCCTTGCACGTGGCCCACCCAAGTTTAATCCCTATCATCCTATATGGTTCCCCAAGCCCTGCAAGTAGTGATCTCTGAGCACAGAGCTAGGAGTAAGTCCTGAGCACTGCCTAATGTGGCCATAAAGCAAAGAAAAAACAAAAAATATCCAGGCTCTTTCGTGGTTGTCTGTCTGCAATAGGAACTTATTAAGAATTTCTCTTTCTATATTTTGGTATTTTCATGTTTCAGATAATTTTAATCTTTAAACATTATTGTGACATGTCTTTTCTCATTAAGTTACTTCATTGGTTTCTGTCTGAAATTTGAATAAAATCTAAATCTTGCCAAGGCCTGCCTTGGAGCCTGACTTCCTTCTACTCACTTATTTCTAAAGAGCCTTTTCACAATGGTAAAATCAGGATGATGATGGCAGTTTTTTTTCAGAGACTTATAGAAAAATGTAGCAACTGAAAATATCTTTTGTTTATTGGACATACATATTTTAAATATTGTTTTATATTATAACATAGTTTGTCTTCATATAAAAATTTTTCTTACATCAAAATTTACTTTAGGTATAAATTTTGTTGTGTAAAATGTAAATATATTAAAATATTTTATAATGTCAAATATAATTGCATTATTTGCATTATAAGTATATTTATACAGATATATTATTCAGAAGATATATAATCTAAAAGAAAACTTCCTGGTATACCAGTACTTCTCCACTGTTTTACTGCATTATATATAAAAATATTCACATTGATATATAGCTATGTAGATATGCATATTAATACATGTGCATGTGTGATATATGAATATATAATATGTATTATATGATATCAATATATGTGATATATGAATAAAGTCACCAAATCTGACCAAAGTATTACTTTTACGTGGGACTTTCTGTGGTTTTTTTCTTTTTATGCCTTTTTGTACTTTCTCTAAGGAGCAAATATTACTTTTTTCTCATTTTGAATCAGGAAATTATGACAGCATTCTTTTTTTTTAATGTAGGAGTACTGCTATTTATTCAGCCACTGATTAAGCTGATTGAAGCAGGCATAAACTCCACATTACTTTTTAAATTTTTTTAAATTTTATTTTCATTGTTTGGAGGTTCTAGCAGGGGAGCGCAGCTACTCCTATACCCTCGACCGAAGACCGGTCCGTCTCTATCGGGGAAGGCCGTCCTCTTCGACCGAGCACGCAGCTTCGGGAGGGACGCACATGGAGCGGTGAGGGAGGAAGGGGACACCCGCCTAGCCAGCCAGATCAGCCGAATCAACCCTGGCGATCAATGGGGTGACAGATGTCGCAGCCAGATGGAGCGATAGCACAGCGGGTAGGGCGTTCGCCTTACAAGCGGCCAACATGGCCGACCCGAGTTCAATTCCTCTGCCCCTCTCGGAGAGCCCGGCAAGCTACCGAGAGTATTCGATATGCCAGACACAGTAACAACAAAGTCTCCAATGGAGACGTTACTGGGCCCCCTCGAGCAAATCGACGATCAACGGGAGGGCCTTTACCTTTTACCTTTTATTTTCATAAAGTTGTTCACAATAATTGATTACATTCAATATTTCAATACCAAGCCCACCACCATTACACCTTCCCACCACCGTTATTTAGAATTTTTCCACCACCATCCAAGCCTGCCCCATTGACAGATGCTAAATAATTTATTTTGTATTGCTTGTTATGAATAGTATGAGATGTATGAACGCATTCTTAACATTTTTCTCAAGTTTTCTAATTTTTCTAACTCTAGGCCCTATGAAACAACTCCCCCACTCCCTACACACACACACACACACACACACACACACATACACACACATACACACAAACACACACACACGTACAACTGCGTCTACAGACCTTGCCAGTGAAAGGTGTAGACTCCTGTGCAGGTGTTGCTTCTGAGGCCCCATGACTAGAGACCTGAGACCCACAGGAAAGCTGCACTACACACCGCTGTGTCCTGGAAAGCCCCTGCTGGCAGAAGCCTCTTCAGTCTTTCCCTTCTCAGTGTGCATTTTGATATGATGCAAAAGCTTTGTCACATCATAATGATGACAAAATGAGAGATGAACTGGTGACAAAGGGCAGGAGCCAAGTGCCAGTCTTGTTATGTTCAGATTCATGTCGCCCTAGCTGTAGATTGTATTGTCATTTGTAGTTTATCTTAGAGATGCTGTGATTATGTAACAGAAAACTTGAAAGGTTTATTTCTTTTGACTCAATATTACTCTTCCCCTTTTTCTAAGAGGGGAGTAGTGGAATCAAGCCCATGTGAAGTATGTTTTCTGCCTCTGAGCTACATCTCAGGCCTCTTGAAGTCCTGTAATACCATTTCTAACAAATTAGTCTATGAAAATAATTAGAAGTGTACATAGATTTTTTGCATTTTAAGCTCATCCTCAATATAATCAGAGATTGTTATTTATCATATTTTGTTTTTTCTCTCTTCTAAAATAAAAAGAATTTAAAAATAAAATAAAATGTTATTTCTAAAATATTTAGAAATAAAAATAAACATCCAGAAACATAGTTATGGAAGGAATAAAGCATATTCTGCTTTTATTAATTTTAAAAGAATTATATTCTGTAAAATGAGGTTTTCCCAGTGACTTATGAAAAATATTAAGGACACTGGACTTAGTGATACCAAGTGGGATATTTGATATCCCATTTAGAGATTTTAAGTATGTGTACCTTTAGATTTAGAGACACTTGCTCATTCTAACTGTGTCTATGCAAAAAAGAATAGAATACAAAGTAAGTTTCTTTTTCCTGTTTATCCCCAGGCTTCTAGTTCCTCTCCTCTGAGGCAACTGCTTACAAGTTTCCGGTGTGTTTTATTCAAGAATTGTTTGTGACTTCCCATCTAGCCCCACTTAATAATGTTATAGAGACACACATATCTAACCAAGTTCATTTTCTCAATTTTTAAATTAGTGGAGTAGAGTTTTCTCAGATTTGTTTAACAATTTAACTTTTTTATTGAGAAACAGTTGTGTTTGATCTTATTTGTTACTTGTTTTGTTTTTTCACTAAATCACCCAGAATTATAAATATACTTATAAATGAGTTTCAGGTTTATTTTGTTCCCTTT